GAGAGAGAGAGAGAGAGAGAGAGAGAGAGAGAGAGAGAATCATCTTACAGCCTCCCTGGGGCTCATTTCACAAACTAATTTTAAACTGAATATTGGTCTTACACTTTTAGACCCAAAAGTCTGTCTGGTTTAGTAAACTATAGTATTTCATGGTCAATCTGTAATAGTCTTAAAGTTCTATCTCAAGTTTTTATATCTCAAGTTCTCTGGGAAGAACAAGCCACTGACGATATATTACAATCCATCACCTCACCATCCTGAATGAAGTCCGGGCCATTATCAGTATAAACCATCTGCACTCAGATCAACCAGACCACCAGGGTTAGCAATATTACACAGCAATCTTCTCAGATACTGGTGCTATTTACTCCATCTTTCTCTCTGTGCTGGTATATAACCTTGGCATGTGCCATATGATTTTAGCAGTAATTTTGTTCAAACTAAGCCCAGATACACAGCCATAAGTGTCAAAATCCTTGTATATGATTGAACTCTGTAACGGACTGATAGAAGAGGGTTCGCCTTAGGGCAACCCAACATCAGTCCCCCCCCTCCCCCCATCAATCATTCTCAAAATAGAAATTAATTGTCTAATGTGGTGGAGTCAAAAATTCAATATTCAGCTATAGATTGCCTTAGGTGTTACTTTTTGGCATTTCTTCAAAAAGAACTATTAAAGAACACAATATCTACATCTTTTCCAAGAAAGACAGGACTTCTTAGAAAGTTATCACTTGCTTGGGTTCAAATACTTGTAGGGCATCCTATAATGATGTTTATGCTAAAGATTTCTTGAAAAATATAATATGATGTGCTAACAAGAACCCAATAAACAGAATACTTCCACATCCATGTACATGATTTATCTGAATTTAAACTTGCCCTGAACAGGTTATCTATTCCAGTGAAAGAAAGTAAAAAATACAATTAGATTTAAAAATCTCATCATTTTCATGTTGCTTTGTTTTAGACATTTTGATTTGGCTAAACTTTTCAGCAATGTAGAGAGCACTCCAAGAGCACAGACCTACACTAGGAAGATTGGAAATTACTATACTAGTAAGAGATAACAGATATCAGTCAAACCAGATTAAGTTATAATTTGTGATTACCTGAATAACATGCTACTTATCCTGAAATTTTCATCAAAATTTGAGATATTAGTCCAATATATAGACAAAATTTCAGTTAAAATAGGGGGTCCCTTGTATGAAGTTATCAACACGAGCCAGAAAAACAAAAAAAAAAAGTTTTTGAAAAAAAGAAAGTTGATGTTGTATTTAAAGTTATTTTGGTCCTTTTTTGAGACCTTGACCTCTGATGACTTCCAAACTTTTTAAAATGAATGGCCATGCTTTTAAACATTGGAAATGATACCTCTCACAAGTTTGCAAGTTACCGTGATATATGCTCACTAAAATATACACCCCTATGCATTGGCAGCCATTTTGGATTTTTTGCACTTTGCCATGAATGGATTTGGGGGGAAATTATCTGGGTAATATTGGCCCATAACTGGACTGGATTCTGTTGAGAAACCTTTGTTAACATTTTTCCAACCTAAGTCGTGTGTTTACTGGACAATATCCACTGACAAACAGTCAACCCAGTGTCAATGAGAAAAATAAATCAATTGTGATATTTGTGATTAAGATGCAAAGAGCTCGTCACAACAAGTCGCCCTAAATAAAAGTATCACGCAACAGAAATGACATTTTTTAGACATTAAAATGAGAACTGATAATTAATTATTTAATCTGACAAAGCTCCAAACTGGGTAATGCAGTCAACCAGTTTAGACCTGTCAGGTCATAATGGCACGATGACTTGTGTCAAACTAGAGATACAAGGTTCGTCCCAGCCGTACAAAAACTTGAAAACTTGATCTGCATGTCAGTGAACCATAAAATCCATTCAAGATATCTAAAAGAGTCGATTTTCTAAACCTAACAGAATAAGCTAAACAAACATTGGTCTCTAAAACAGATAAAAGCTGTTAATATTTTAGGGCATGTTTTCTACAGAGATAGGATTATTAGGTTCTTATAAGTTATCACTGTCATAAGATATTTCAGCCTTTTTTAAATGATGGAAGCATCCTGAAGCCACCTTGATTGAATTCTTGATCAAAAGATTTTAGTGCTTGCAAATTGTCTGCGTGTTACAGTTGCATTCCTCAGATAGCAGGAAATAAATTGAAGTTCAAGCCTCACTAAGGAGTGATCAATATTCACAGTAAAGAGTACAAGGGAAATGGTCATAGTGTACAGTTCAAATGGGTTTTATATCTTTTTATTTCTTTAAACAGATTTCCTGGTTTTCCTCTCATTGTGTGATTTCCAGATTATCTGATTAACCCTATTTTTTCAATGGTTTATCCCTAATTTAAGTGCAGTGTTCTATACTCCTCTCTCTTGATCAGTGGACGAGCAGTAAAGAAACCATACAAAAAAGAAATTAAAGAGATGATACCTCCTGCAAAATTGGGTTGAAGACTGCTCTACAAAACTACAAACAATGGGCCTCTAGCCATTAGTATGCAAAAAATAAATAATAATAAAAAATAATAATAATCATAAATAAATTTAAAAAAATATATAAAAATCAGTCTAAATAGCTGCCATCCTTGTGAAAATTTCAAGCAACTAAAGGGGAACTCCACATGTAAGTATTCACTGTAATATAATTGCATAGGTATATATATATGTTTTCCAAATCAGCAGAAACATTTTATGCCATATTTTCAGACCATACCAACTAACACTAAAAATATATCAAAGTTCAAATCAAAGAATAAAATCCCTTCTGGCAAATTTGTCGCAAATTGCAACAAGAGGTTAAAGCAGGCCTGATATTTTGCTAAGGGTGACCAAAGCCAAAGTTCTCCTAATCTACACACCAAGCTTAAATGTCTGTGGCACCATTTAAATAGTTCAAACAATTTAAAAGATACAATTTATTTTAAAAAGAACAATAGAATCAAGTGTTTTTACATTTTATAATTTGTGCTCATGTGTCCTGCCCAGAACAAGTTGATACATGTAGTAGTGTAATTACAGCTTATTGCAGTTAGAAATGGCCACTGACATCAATAATAATTAAATAATGATGCACTGTTGATTGATGATACGAATTGTGTCCTACAAAAAACACTTGGTTCATTGCAGATGTTTTAAAGTGATTTCATGCAAGAATGATTTTCATGTTAGACCATCATATAATCTATTAAGCCAAATAACTAAACCTTCAGATAGAAAATCCTGTCTCTCATCCCTTAATTAAGACATGTTTGCGATATCAGTGCATCACTATTTTTAAAATATATCCACCTCAAAAACTCTTAATTAAATTTAATATATTCAACAAGCTTTTGACTTTCTAACATGAAATGGTTAAATTTACGTGCAATTTTGATGATCGCCTTATAAAATGCATTCTTTGTAAATAGAATGGAATAAAGAATTATTGAAAAACACCACATCTCACAATAAATAATGTATAAACCTTAACAGAAACATCTGTGTGAATAATTAAATCAATACTGGTCTAATTACAGACAAATAGCTTAATATTTCACATTTCAATTGAAATTCTTGTCTTTCAATATGCATTTAACCACAAAGTTCCATCCCTATCTAAATTCTTCGAAAACATTAAAAAAAACCCACTTATTGCCAAGGAGTGAAATACGAGAATAATAATTGATGTGAAATATACTTACAGCAAAAGAGGCCTTCATTTTTGAGAAGTCTTGAGACTTGTTTCAAGACAGAAAAGATATTGATTATACAAAATAATTGCAAAAAAAATAATAATAACAATAGCAATACAATAAAAAATAAATAAATAAATAAATAAAATAAATAAATAACATCAGAAATCTCCAGGAACTTTAATCATGACAAAAAGACATAACATCTGCTTCTCACAAAAAACAAATTAACAACCTCAATTTAATCCATAAACGAGCTTGTATCTTTTAGTAATTGAGCAGGATTTCCAGAATTCTGCCCAATGATACAATTACAAGGATTGAAGACATGCAATGTTCAAATCACCAGCATTAGTTTTTTACTGATTAAAGGACTCACATACCTTTTGTCGTCCTTTTGTTTTTTTTTTGTTTGTTTGTTTTTGTCATCTGTCAAAAATTTTATCATCAATTATTTCATCACTGTTGCTTTGAGCTTTTATCATGCATATATTTGGAAAAGTCATCATGATTTTATTCAACACATGTATAATAATCATGATGATGATGATGATAATAATAATAATAAATTTTGAAAATATTATAATAATATCATCATCATCATATTTTACTCCTTCCATACTTCATTGGTATTAGGTACACCTGCAGCATTTTGGGGCATACTGTCCCCCTTCCTCTAGCAGGGTATTATGCATCATTATCATTCTATCATAATTCATTATTATTTTTATCATTATCACCATCAAGATTACAAATGATCCCTTCAATAATCATCTTTGTTCAAATCCTGGACAGAAGTATCATCTACATCTGACACACTGTTATATTACAAATTAAACTGAAGAAAAAAACCCATCATTAAAATTGAATATAATCCTGTGCATGCCTGACCTATATAACACAAACAGAATAAAATCTGTTGCTTGGCAATCTTATTATCCTAACACATTCAATCACTCCTTCAAGAAAGAAAGAAAGAAAGAAAGAAAGAAAAAGAAAGAAGGGTAAAATAGATCTAAATAATCACAAATTTTTAACAAGCCATTAAATACAGTGTATTTAGTCATATAAGAAATCAATAACTTACTGCAACAGCAGGAATTAATACACCCCCAGTATTTGTGACAACCAACCACCAATTGAACTAAATGTTCCATAAATTGCCATTTCCCCATCCAATATTAGTGCTGTCAACGTGTCAGCTTACCTAATGTGTCCGGAGCAGTGGGGGCCAGGTGACCCCAGGTCAAACAATTCTCCATTATCTGCAAGTGGTCATCCAGAGTGCTGTAGCGATGGATGTCCGTAACATTCTGACCAGATGTGCCGAGGAATCTATAAAAAGATGAAACAAATGGGTAATATTTTGATGGGGGCATGCTCAAGAATCTGCAAAAAACAAAAAAACAAAAAAGAAAAAAAAATCCTCATATTAAATGACTTAATTTTAAAAAAATCACAGAAATATGCACTTAGAGTCTCTTACATCTTTCCAAAATGTACTATTTTTATTGTTAGTCTTAAGATACGTCCCGACAACAGAGGTAGAAATTTGTGTCCAATAACTTGCTGAACAACATGGTGCTAGCAATATGGCACTTGAAACATGTTTGTCTATATAGATGTAAGTACATATATAGTTTTCTATAATGCTGGACAGACAAATTTTTGGTTTTCCGTGAAATAATTACCTTGTGCCATAGACCAATTTATCAGATTTTGGAAGAAATTCTGACAAAGACTTTGACATGGACTTTTTTATCTACATACTATAAACCATTTCTGAAGAAAGCAGTTTGTGAGCCGGAAAATTCCAAGAGAAATGACTGTAATGTTTGTGGTAACCAGTAGATGGCAGCACAGTAGCAAGAATGCCATAGAGCTATCAGCTATGGCTTTTTTTTGGATCCTGCTTCAAATTACACAGAATAGGAATAATAAAGAAATGTATAAATTAATTAATTAATCAATAAATTCAAATCAAATCAAAGTCAAATGAAAAGGGTGTGCATCAATAGAAAGTTCATTGCTAAGAAAGCTGTTTGGTTATTCATTCATTTCTTCTCATTTCAAATAAAGACTGTTTGGATTGATTAAGTACCTTATTCCTTCTATGGTGCAATCATATGGGTTGGTGACGCAGTGTGTAGATGGAAACATGGCCGCCTGGGGGAACATACAGCGATGTAGTGGTTGTTGTGGTAGGATGTGGTTAGCCGGATCAAATTCCCCTGGCATAATGTCAATGCTCATGGAGCACTGAAAAAATAAAGGCTGATTAGGAAAGATCTGGCAAGAACTGATCATTTGACAGGTGTACTAGCCATTGCTCAGATTAGAGGAATTTAATCCTGGATTTCCTGCCAAACTGAGTTTTCTTTGGAAAAAAAAAGCAATTTTACCCAACTTGTGAATCGGATATTTAGGTAATACTATGTCAACCACATTTATGATGGGATAATAATAATGAAATGCCACTGGACCAATGTTGCAAATTGTGCTTTTTACAGTAGTCTGTTAAGCTGAAAAACTTTGGACTGTTCTTTTGTGATGTAGGTTCCAGAGGCAAATTCCAAGAATTACATCAAACAGACTCACTGCTAATTGCACCAGAATGTCATCTAGGCTTTTTACAGCATCAACACTACCAGCAGTTGTTTTCTTGGTCAGATATTTTGCCTGAAATTTTGAGATTAGAATAAATGTAAGATGCACCACTATAACAAAGGTATAAACATAATGATATATTTTGAGGAAAAAGTTAGAAATCGGCTTGACTGTTCAAGTTAAACATATTAAATTTTAGTCTTAGAAGGGTGACATACTTTGAAGGCATATATTAGGTTTTTGTGTATTTATAGAAGAACTTAAGAAAAATAACTGTCTTAAACATTCATACCAAATCTTGGGCTACTTCAATTCAGAGTAGATTTGTTGTAGTCCAATGAATCAAATTAAGTATTGGTCTTTAACATTTGCTGCATTCCATTATTTTTATAAAAGAGGTCTGAAATTTAATGTACATCTGACAACTACTAATACTTCTGATCAATCTAGGGTCAAAGTAGGCTACAAATTTTGGTCAAAAGTTAAGCCAACTTTCACACAAAAGCTCTTTTGTGAAAATGGCTCCATTTTTTTTTTCAATTTAAATTCTCAGCCAAAAAATGGCACAGAGATTCATGCCTGAATGAAAAAATAAATAAATAAATAAACAGATAGACAGACAGACTTACTTGTTTTACTTGTTCCTTGTCTTGCGTTTCCTGACTGAGAGAATTTCCAGCTATAATTAGTCTGCTGATACTGGCACAAGTCTCCTGTTCTCCCTCATCCCCCAACTGACCGGTCAGTACGTCCACTAACATCTGGACACTCAGCAAATTGCTGGACTTGCCACCAATGTCCAACCCTGATACCATCGCAACATACCTAATTTAAATAAAATGAATGAATGAATGAATGAATGAATGAATGAACAAACAGGATATCATTAGGGGACAGAAGCAAAATGTGTTGTGCAGTGCAGTGAGCATACATGGAACATGGTATATTAAGCTTTAAAACATTGTGGTCAATCTGTTCATGTCGGTATACACCAAGCAAAAATATAAAGTGAATTATATAATATTATGTAACATGTAATGGGTGGCTCCAAAATCTGGATAAAGTATTGCGTGGGGCCTTTATATTTTTTTATTAATATATATTCATTTCAGCATTACATCTAGAGAAGAAAAAAAACTTATTTCAGATGATTACCACAGAGCTATCTTAAGTTTATATAGACCAAAGCTTTAATCTAAAAATTAACATCAATGGAAACAAGCCCCTGATCTTTCTCGGAGTTGGAGAGTAGATCAAGACTAAGCTTGACTTACACAGGATGTTCCACCACAGGCCTTGGTACAGAACTAGCCATGTCAAGGAAACAATAGTCTTCCACTAGAAACTTTCCTCGATCTTCATCAGGTTCCACGCCATACACTGCTATGACTATACCTAGATTGTACGCAACAAAATCAACTTGTTATTTGTATTCAAATTTCATTAAATATTCTTATACACAATATACAAAATTAATTAATGCATGAATATTCAAATACCAAACTGACACTTAGCAATTTTTAGCAATCCCGCCACAAAATCATCATTCATGTGCCTAACATTTTCAATAGACTCAGAGCCATGAGGCTAATATCATATCCTTTTTCAGTTTTCCACTTTTTCTGTAGTGGACACAGACCTGTGACCATGGTCTGGACATCAATAGAGCCCTTTAACTGTATCCTTTGTAACTCATCCTCAAGGATCAACTCATCTTTGTCATCAGTATATCTACTACGAGCTGGCTGAGGTAGCATGGCATTCTGGAAATGAAAACTGACAATGAAATCTCAATTCAATCCCTTTGTCTTCCTAAACAAAAAGTCAACATGGAATTTGTCTTGTGATATGTTGAACAAGGTTGATACATATACTGTAAGTCAAAAAATGCATCATAGTGGATAACTATTTGTTTAGTTTATGTTATGTTAATTCTTAGTCATACATCTTAGTAAATCTTCTTATATCTTTATATTTGGCACGGTTAATTAGTTTAAAAGGGGTTGTGCAATCATATCTATGAATCTTTTCCTCCCAAATCCAAAACAAATATTAAAGTTACATTAATGTTTTCATCATAAAATACATTGATGACAAAAGTCAGCAATTAATTTCATCATAAAATAGACAAGAGTCAACAATTTACTCGAGTTGTCAACACACAAACATGCACACAGGCACGCATGCAAATGCACTACTTCTGTTTCGCCAGTTCTTACCTCCTCACTGATCTCTTTGAGTATACTTGGTCTTAGTTCCATGTGTTTGAAGAGCGTTCCTATGACAGCGACCTTCTCATCAGCTTGGAGTTGATAAAGTTGTTTAATTGGTGTGTCCTTACCTGAGAAAATGTACATTCAAATGAAACAATGTAATCAGAAGGGCGATACATAAAAAACAATGTACCTTACATAGATAGACTTAAAGGAGGTGAGAGGCAAGCAAAAGGTTTGGCACTTTTGCAGACCTCCCCCCCAAGTCACTGAAAATCAAAGGGATATGAGGGCTGCATGTGTGCCTGTGTGTGTGTGTGTGGGGGGGGGGGG